CTGTCTTGCTTTCCTTGCTGTCGCTGCCGTGGTCCTCTTCCAGTCCTGCTGCTCGTGGAGGTCCTTCAGATCGGCCCCTCTCTCGTCGCCACATGGCTGCAGCTAGCCGGAAGAGGAGGAGGAAGAGGAGGAGGAGGAGGAGGAGTACCAGTGTAAACCCAAGATGTTCCCTCCAACTTTCCTTTTCACAGGTTCCTACAATACTTTGTTTTCGTTACAGCAGGTGGCCCGTTAAATGGCAGCCGTCCAGTGAGATCAACACATGAGAGATTCCCCCCTCAGATTCCAAAAAGGGGCAAACGGGGAGGTGCCTCGCAAGCACTGGAAACATGTCACAAAAAAAAAAAACAGATTTGCAGTGTAAGTGCGAGGGTTTGGGTACCCGTCGGGTTCCAAACTTTTTCGAACATCCAAGGTCGTCCCAAAACACAATTCTCAGGATTACAACTCCGCCAACCCATTGCGTCCTGACAATCCGCAATCGCGCCTGAACGTCGTTGCTGGGAGTTCAACACCGCGAATCTGCGTGAAAGTTGCGTCCCAACAGTGCGAAATCGTGCCAGGACACCATCCCTGGGACTCCAACCCTACGAATCCTTGAAACTGCAGCACGCAGTTGACACAAATATTCGCGGCGCTCGAGCGAGAGCATTGCTTGAAAAGGAACCAGCCTCCAGATTTGAAGCGAGAGCTCCACTGCGAGAGCTCCACCGCGAGGCGTTGAGGCGAGAGCTCCATTTCCAACACAACTCGTCCTCCATCCTTTTATCTGTTTTACAAGTCGAAGGCGAATGCGCGTGGCGCCAAGGCGAGAGTTTCAATTTTAAGACGGGCCACCTTCTATCCTTGAGGCTGTTGCAAATTTCAAGCTTCAGGGTCCGAAATGGTGAGGAGATCTCAGGCGGCATGCCCGCCCTGGCTTCTGGACACGTCTGAGGACGCGATAGGGAGGATTTGCTTATAAGGAAGATGGGAGCAGGAGGAGGAGGAGAAGGAGGAGGAGGAGGAGCGGTGCTGCGGGCTCTCTCTCTCTCTCTCTCTCTCTCTTTTAGCAGCATGGCTCCGTGCTCGGTGCTGCCTTCCTTCGCAGCTCGGCTGCCTCTTTCGCGTGGCAAGTTTGTGCGGAGGCTGACCCAGGTGCGTAGGTTCGCCCACGCGCGGGATCGGGCTCTGGACCCATTGGCATTGCAACCGGTCCGAGTGTGAGGCCAGGAGCCTAGGGTCGAGTAGCTCTGCTGACGGTCCATCGCCTGTGCTGCGCGCCGCTCATGCTTTGCCCAGTCGTGGCACGTTGGTGCCTACAGGCTCTGTCGCACGAGCGGAAGATGAATCAGGTGTGTAGGCTCGCTCACACAGGATCGGGCTCCGTTGCCAACGGCTATGCAACTGCCCCTTTTTGGGGCCTGCCCCAGGGAAGTGTTGCGACGCTGGTGGCGAGGTGTTGTCCTGCGGCGTGGCGCCCGACGCGCGCTTGCACCGCCTGGCACAATCTGTCTGGCGCGAGCGCCATTTCATCAGCAGCACTACCGCTGTGCTGCACTCACTGGCAGCAGCAGGCTGCCCCTTTTTACTGCCGCGAGGCGCGCCCTCCGTGCATTTCTGCCCTGAGCGGTAGCTTCGGAGGCTGACCCATGCTAGCACGGCATCCGTTCAATGTAGCTTCTGGCGCGTCGTGCGCGACAGCTGCCCGCAAGTCTGTCGGCGTGGAGGGCGACCCGAGAGCGTAGGTTCGCCCACGCTCTGGTTTGAACTCCGCAGGCCCGAGGAGCAACTGCGTCGGTCGTGTGGCCTGGTGCCGTGGATTTGGTTGCTTGTCAGGTGCGGCGTGCAGCAATGCTGTGTACCAGCCCGCTTTTCTGCGCAGCGTGGCCTCTGCTAACTGCCGCGCGGGCTGAGTCGTTCCGACTGCTAGGATCGGTCATCCGCTTGCCTCGGCTGAGGCGGTTGGTTGATTTCGCCACTCGGACGAATCTGCGTGTGTGCACCGGGGCGCACGTGACCCAGCGTTGCCACCGCAGGGCCAAAGGGAAACGCCTCGGTCCGAGGGGCAGTGCGAGCTAGGAGTTCCTGTTCCCTTCAGACGCGAGGATCATCATCATCATCATCATCATCATCATCATCATCATCATCATCATCATCATCATCATCATCATCATCATCATCATCATCATAAGCATCATCATCATCATCACCATCATCATCATCATCATCACCATCATCATCATCATCATCATCATCGTCACCACCATCATCAGCATCATCATGATCATCATCCTAATCCTCATGATCATGAACATTATCTACATCACCACCCGCATAATCATCATCACCATCATCATAATCTTCGTCATCATCATCAGCACCATCATCAGCATCATCATCGCCATCGTCAACATCATCATCAAAGTCATCATCATCCCCCTCATCATCCGCATCCTTCTCCCTCTCCTCCTCCTCCTCCTCCTCCTCTTCCTCCTCCTCCTCCTCCTCTTCCTCCTGACACCTGACACCGGATGACAGCGTTGTCGTCTGACGAAGCCTCCCCCTCCCGCTTCTCCACCTCCGTCTCCTTCTCCTCCTCCTCCTCCTCTTCCTCCTCCTCCTCTTCCTCCTCCTCCTCGTCCTCCTCCTCCTCCTCCTCCTCCTCCCGTCGTTATCCTCCTCGTCCTCTTCCTCCTCCTCCTCCTCGTCCTCTTCTTCTTCTTCCTCCTCCTCCTCATCCTTTTCCTCCTCCTCCTCCTCATCCCCGCTCCTACTCCTCCCCCCTCCTCCTCCTCCTCCTCTTCTCTCCTCATCCTCCGTCCTCCTTCCTCCTACTTCCACTCAGACTCGGCTCCTCCTCCTCCTCCTCCTCCACCTCCTCCTCCTCTCCTTTTCTCTTCCCTCGCCTCATACCCTCAATCCTCTCCTCTTCTCCCCCTCTTCCTCCTCCTGCTTCTTCTCCTCAACCTTCTCCTTCTCTCCGAGGGACCTCCTGGCCTCTACCTGCTCCGGTTTTCCTCCTCCTCCTCCCTCCCCCTCTCTCCGTCCTCCTTCTCCTCCTCGTTTCCTCCTCCTCCTCCTCCTCCTTCTCCTCCTCCTCCTCCTCCTCCCCCTCCTCCTCCCCTATTACCTTCCGCCTCATCCTCCTCCTCCTCTTCTCCTCCTCCTCCTCGCTTATCCTCCTCCTCCTCCCCTCCTCCTCCTTCTTTTCCTGCTCCTCTTTTGTTCCTCTTCCCTCCTCCCTCCCCTCCGCCTCCTCTCCTCCCCCTCTCTCCTCCCCTCCTCCCTCCTCTTCCTCCTCCTCTTTCTCCTCCCTCTCCCCCCTCCCCTCTTCCTCCTCCTCCTCCTCCTTTTCCTCCTCCTCCTCCTCTTCTCCTCCTCCTTCTCTCATCATCATCGTCCTCCTCTTCCTGCTCCCTCCTCCTCGTCCTCCTCCTCCTCCTCCTCCTCCTCCTCCTTCCTCCTCCCCTCCTCCTCCTCCTCAAAGTTCTCTCCTCCTCCTCCCTCACTCCTCCTCCTCCTCCTCCTCCTCCTCCTCCTCCTCCTCCTCCTCCCTGTCCTCCTCTTCCTCCTCTTCGTTGTTCCCTTCTTCTTCTTCTTCTTCTTCTTCTTCTTCCTGCTCTTGTCCCTCCAGCTTCTGCATGCTGTGCGTTCGTGCGGCTGTGGTCTGGGTGTCCTGCGGGCCTCCTGGCGGCCCCGTCCTGGCCTCGGTGCTGCGGGCCTGGCCCTCCTTGGCCGCCCCGAGGTCTCCCAGGCCCCGTCCGCGGGCGCCGCTGCGCCCCTGCCAGGAGGCAGAGACGCAGCTGCGCCTTGCGCTTGCCAGGCGCTGCGCTCGTCGCCGCAGACACCTGCCTTTCCCGCTCGCGCTCCCCGCCCGCACGCGCGCGCCGAACCATCGCTGCTCGACGCCTGGCGGCGTCGGGAGACGCGAGAGCGGTGGACGCGAGGCTCAGGGGCCCCTCCGGGGCCCCCGACTTGGCCGAAGTCGCCGCGCTTCGCCAGGACACCGCCCGCGGCATGTCCGGCATGGTTCCGGCGCGCCGGCAGGGGCAGGCGGGGGGCGGCCCATGGGTCGCCCAGCGCGATCCACCACTCGCAAAGTGCCTATTCGCAAACGTCCGAAAAACATGTGTCTGCTTTGGCTTAATTTATCGCAGGTCCCAGGCAGGGGATCCAGGCGATTTGCGAGTAGCTCCTTTGCGAGCAGTGGCACGCGCTCGTCGACTGGGGGGCGACATCGACCACCCATCGCCAGTCGGGGCCTCAGGTCCCCACCCGGCTCAGGAGCGCGCGTGTCTGCGGATCGCCGATGGATCGGCGATCTCTCGGTGATCCATCGACGATGCCAAATTAAAGATTTCCTCCCCTGAGCCAGTCCCTCCCCCTCCGCCCCCCTGTAGTGGTTGAGATAGACAGGGGGTTCCTGCCAGTGCCCGCGTGGGGCTGGCTGTCGGTGGCTGTTGCCTCCCCCCTTGACCCTTTGTCTTCTGCTTCTCAGTCCGCTTCCCCGGTACGCGCGCAGGGGGCATCAGCGCGGGTCCGGCCAGCGCGAGCCAGGCTCAGGTGTCGCGCGCGTTTGATTTTCCCCATGGCGATGTTGCTCCGCCGTCATCATCGTCCTTGTGCTGTTCCTCCCTCGTTTTGCTGCCGCGAGCTTGCCATAGTCCGGTTTACCAGTGGGCGGGCAGCGACGACGACAAAGACGACGACGACGACGACAACAAAGACGACGACGACGGCGGCGGCGGCGACGGCGATGGCGACGGCGACGGCGACGGCGACGGCGACGACGACTTCGATGACGAGAGCCTCGTTCACGATGGCGACAACGACGCCGATAATGAGAACGACGACGGCGACAAGGCCGACGTCGAGGTCGACGTTGACGATGCCGACGCCGACGACGACGACGAGGACGAGGACGACGCCGACGACGAGGAGGACGAGGACGACGACGACGACCACGAGTACGCGGCCGACGACGAGGACGACGACAGCGAGTCCGACGGCGAGGAGCCCGCTCGGCCCGAGGGCCGCCGGCGCGGGCCCGCGGGCCTTCCGCGCCGGCCCCGCGCCCGCTCCCGCGCCCGCTCCCCCGCATGGCCGCCTCCGGGGGGCGCGGCCGGCTCCTCCTCCTCGTCGTCGTCGTCGTCGTCCTCGTCCTCGCCCTCGTCGTCTTCCCCGTCGTCTTCCTCGTCCCCGTCGTCGTGTACGTCGTGCGTCGCACGTCGTCGTCGTCCGTCGTGCGTCGTGCGTCGTGCGTCGTCGGCCGGACGGGCGGATGGTCGGTCCTCGGCGGTCTTCGGTCGGTCAGTCGGTCAGTGTCGTCGCCGTCGTCGTCGCCGTCGTTGTGGCTCGAGGCTCGCCGCCGCCGGCGTCGTCATCGTCGTCGTCGTAGTCGACGTCGTCATCGACGTCGTCGTCGACGTCGTCGTCGACGTCGTCGTCGTCGAGGCTCGAGGCTCAAGGCTCGAGGTTTTTCCGTCTTGGTGTGTCCCTCGGAGGCGTCTCGTCGCTCCGCGGCTGGACTCCCCCCGGGAGTGTCCTGGCTGGCGCGCACCCCCCCGGGGGCGTGTCCAGAGCAGGGCCTTTGACCCCCGAGCCAAAGGTCGAGGAGGAGGAGGAGGAGGAGGAGGAGGAGGAAGGAGGGGGGGGGGGGGGGGGGGGGGGGGGGGGGGGTGGGGGGAGGGGGGGGGGGGGGGGGGGGGGGGGGAGGGGGAGGGGGGGGAGGGGGAGGGGGGAGGGGGGGGAAGGGGGGGAGGGGGGGGGGAGGGTGAGGGGACAAGCTAGGTGCGCTCGCGTCATATCTGACATCCTACCCCTCCCTCCCATCCCTTGCCATGGCGCAGATCCCCTCTCTACTCGCACAGTCGGATGTCGAGCAGGGCAAATGTCAAATAATGGCAAAAACGACAAAAAGTAACAGCAGCGATGGCATTGTAAGGCACACGGCATGGCATGGCGTAGTACGGAAAACAAACACACACCGCAACGAAACTCGCAACAAAGCGTAGCATGGTGACAAGCATGGCGCGGGTGGCGTGGCGTAGTGACAAATGGCATCACAAAGCTTAACCCAAAAGCTTTTGCAAAAGAACCAAAAAAGGAAGCAAAAACGCTCCGCATGGCATCACAACGCGCGGCCCGGCCCCGAAGGATGGTGATGATAGCAAATGTGATTGGTGGTGGGGATGGCGTTTAAGATCAAAACGTAGCATGTGGCATACACGACGTGACACTTAAAGCACTGCATAATCAAACACACCACAGCGTCAGCTGAGGCATATGATAATGGCATTCGCTCAAAATGCGCAGTCGGAACGCAACCTAGCATTGCATTGCATGCCGTGGCATGGCACGGGAAATGACGCCAGTGCTGCAGCGGGAGCACGAGTCGAAACGAGCGGAAGCGCGGAAATGAGGCCATCGCTGCAGCGGGAGCACGATTCGGAACGAGCGGAAGCACGGAAATGAGGCCAGCGCTGCAGCGGGAGCACGATTCGGAACGAGCGGGGCCCGAAAATGAGGCCGGCGCCTCAGCGAGAGCAGCATTTTGGAAAAAAATGCAGGCGAAAACCCAACTCCGGGGAATCCTGTGTTAAAAAAGCAGGACGGTGGGGGTCAAGTGCGGCGGCGGCGGGGGGGTGCGGCGGCGGGGCGCGTTGCGGGGTGCGGGGAGTGCGGGTGACGCTGGGGGGGGGGGGGTGTGGGGGTGGGGTTGGGGGGGGGGGGGGCGCCTTCGCATCAGACACGTCCCCAACAACCCCTTTCATCAGGGGAAGGAGAGAGTAGTATTCATATTGGAGTAATGTGGAAGGTGGTGTTAGGGTGAGGAGGAGGAGGAGGAGGAGAGAAGGAGGAGGAGGAGAAGGGGGGAGGAGGAGGATGGGAGGAGGAGGAGGAGGGGAGGAAGGGAGAGGAGAGGAGAGGAGAGGAGGAGGAGGGAGGAGGGGGAGGGGAGGGTGGAAGGAAGGGCGGGGTGGGAGGGGGAGGGGGAGTGGTCCGTTGCTTTCCTTGTCGTCGCCCTCGGCCTCCGTGTCCTGCTCCTCGTGATCCTCGACATCCTCGCTGCCGGGCTCCTCTTCGTCATTATCATCTGTCTCCTCTCCGCGCCCCTTCTCATTCCCCTCCCGTCGCCGTCGTCGCCCCTCTTGTTTTCGTCCTATCTCTAGTCCTCATCCTCCTCCTCCTCTTCTCCTCCGCTCCCCCTCCTCCTCCTCCTCCTCCTCACCCTTCTCCTTACCCTCCTTCCCCTCCTCCTTCCTCCTCCTCTCCTCCTCCTTCCCTCCCTCCTCTCCTCCCCCTCCTCCTCCTCCTCCTCCTCCTCCGCCTCCTCCTCCTCCTCCTCCCCAGGCATTCGACGTCGTGACTTTTTCAAAAGGCCTGGCTCCCCAGAGGTCCAGAACTCTCCTCTGGGACCCGCTTTTCATCCTGATGAGCTGTTTTTATTGCAGTCCAGGGTCTGGTAAGGGCCCCCAGAGGCCGAACATGTGTAACAGTTTTCTGTCGTGATTTTGTCACGACGCCGTTGTCGTCGTTTCGCTCGCTGTGTTCGCGGAGCAGCTTTCCCACTGGAAGCGAGACGTCAGATTGTGCATATCTTGGAGTGGACTTGGCGGGAGGACGTAAAATTGGGCGCGCGGCCCGAACGAACTGGGTTCTCAGGTCGGGTGCTACGCAAACCAAAATCCCAGAGTCAGGAAGTTGGTGGCGGCATCCAGGACATACAAGACGATGATGAAATCAGAGAAGCAAGGATCGTATGCGGCAGAGTAGTATGGACACACGTTGTATGGAACGCGTATGCGGCAGGGTAGTATGGACACACGTTGCATGGAACGCTTGGTGGCACAAGTCAGACATTCAGAGCGAGGCCAGGGACCATTTCTGCAGCCCCAAGTGCAGGGAGATGTTTGACAACTCTGCTGGCACTCAAGTGCCATGGGCTGACCCAGGGGTCAAGATGGCGTCAGCCATCAAGAAGGTTTGGCAGGAGACGGTCGACAACCTCATGGGAATCGAACTTTCGCGGAGGTCACGGCATGTCAGAGGGCCACTGTCGGCAGTGAAATCGTCTTTGTTGGAGATGGGGTAGACGCCGACGACAGCAGAATCCTGGGATCGTGTACAGAAGGCTTCAGTGGAGCAGTGGAATTCCCCACGTGAGGCTCTCACCCTTTACGCTGCTGAACGCGGCGATGGATTTGTTAGCGGAATTCCGAGAGGAGAGGCAGGTGATGTGTTGGGAACAAGCTTGTCAGCACCATTGTGGAGGAGGTCGTGAGCAAGGGGCGGACACGTACAGCTACGGCCAGCTCGCACACCAGTTGCGAGACGTACCTCACGGGCACCGGCTGTCGGAGTTCATAGTGGCGATCGCGACGGGAGGAATTTGCCCAAGGCCTCGGCGGCTCCAGTCGGCGCCTGCAAAGGTGGTCCACGCTTGAGCGGGGTGCCGCAAGGAGCCCGAGAAGATGTCTCACAGAGCCCGGAACTGCGAGGCGGACAAGGACTCGGCGGCCCACACCTTGTCCGACGAGTTCCTCGCGGAGGCCTTCAGCCAGCACGAGGCAACGGAGTAATCACGCTTGGCTGAGGGGACTCATCCCGCCCAGCTGGACGGAGATTCCGCCGCCCATTCTTGAGGATGACTGAAAATGTGGAGGTTGATTTCTGAATGTTGAGAAGGGTCTGGGGGAGTAAGTCGGCGCACTCAGACGGCCCATCTGTACCTTTGGTGATGCAAGCGGGCGCGGAGGTACCATAGGCGCCCGACTCCGTAGAGTAGGAATTGACGTTGTTGAGATAGAGCTTCCATGGTACTGCACGTGAGATGATGACGAGGCGATAACCTTGGTGTCGCTCATGGGTTCGATGATCAGAAGTTATTGGCACCATAGGACCCTGACGCGGACCTCTTGGAAAAGCTCGGCCAGGAGTTTTCCCGGTGGTGCGATCCGGCGTGTGTGGCCGACCTCGCAGGAAGGCCTGCTCGAATAGAGGTGCACACCTTGCCGCACTTTGACTAATGTATAAAGGGGGTATTCCTTTTCTCTCCCACAAATGGCTTGTTTACACCTGTCGGGGGGGGGCTCACGAATCCCACCAGCTGCAGTATCACTCGGGGCTGAAGGTTTGGCTCTGCATCAGATGTGGTTCTCATAGCTCGGCCCAGCTCGGTAATATTGGTGAGCTGTGTCCAGAGTTGGCTCCTGTCCACAGGCAGGCTTACCTTACTGGCATCGCGGCCCAACAGTGGTCAAAGGTTTTAAGCCAATCCGAGAAGATTAAGAGGGACCTCCTCCTCCTCCGAGGAGGAGGAGGAGGAGGAGAATGAGGAGGAGGAGGAGGAGGAGGAGGAGGAGGGGGAGGGGGAGGGGGGGAAAGACGCGAGGAAGAGGAGGAGTGGGAAGGATGAGGAGGAAGAGATGAAGGAGGTAGGCAGGAAGAGGGGGAAGGAGGATGAGGAGGAGGAGGAGGGGAGTTCCAAGGAGTTCCCCCCCAGCCGCAGTGCTGTCCTGTCCCCGGCGGCCGCTCCGCGCGGACCGCGCACGGGCCACGGCTCGGGTGGGTTGGGCCGCGCCCCGGGGGGCCGCGCACCTCTCCACGCGCGTCTTGCGGAGGCGCGCGGAGCCATGGGGCCGAGCGCGCCCTCTGTGAAGGTCGCGGTCCACCCCCGAGATCCTCAGACCAGCGGCTGCTGCATGAGGGGGCTGACAATGCCCTCCAGCTCCTTCCGCTTGCTCTCGAACTCGCCCTGCTCGGCGAGTTGGTTCTTGTCGAGCCAGTCGAGGGTGTCCTGGACTGCCTTCTCGGCTTTCTCATTTGCGCCGTCCTTGAACTTTTCTTTGAGCCTCTGCTCCCTCAGCGTGTGGCGCATGGCGAAGCAGTAGTTCTCGAGGCCGTTCTTGGACTCGCGTCTTTCTCGCACGCCCTGCTCCCAGCTCTGTAGCTGATGATGTCGGGCGCAGTCTTCGCCTCCCACTTCTCGCACTTCTCGCTGTGCATCTGGCCTCCTCGAGGATCTCCCCGAGGCGCCTCGTGAGGCGACATCTCTTCGTTGTAGCTGACGACGTCGGGCTTCGGCTTCGCCTCCTCCTCCTGCTTGCGCTGCCCCCTGCTCGGGCCTAGCCACTTGCGGGAGATCTCGGCGCGCGCCGGCCACATCGCTGCGCTTGTGCAGCTCGATCCAGCCGAGGCGACGAGGAGCGACGGGGAATGACCAGCGATGTTGGGCTCCAGCTTCGCCTGTGCGACAGGTGCGGCCACTGCTCGCCCTTCTCGCTCACGCGCCTCTCGCCGCTTCTCACATGCCCCATGCTCTGAGCTGTAGCTGGTGTTGTTGGGCTCCAGCTTTGCCTCCGCTACAGTTGCAGCCGCTGATCGCCCTTCTTCTCGCACGCGCACCACACGCCGCATCTCACATGTCCCGATCTCTGAGCTGTAGCTGGTCGCGTCTGGGTCTATCTTCTCCTCGCCAGCTTTCTCGCGATACTTTTTCTCTGATCCAGCCGTGGCGGCGAGGAGCGACGGGGAATCGTTAGCGATGGTGGGCTCCAGCTTCGCCTCTTCTACAGTGGCAGTCGCTGCTAGCCCTTCTCGCACGCACGCCTCTCGCCCCTTCTCGCACATCACGGCAGGCTGCCACGGCTCCTCCGCGTAGTTATTCGTCCACGGGGAGCTCCACCAGTCCGGCTGCTGAACTTGGCAGGCCCAGTCCAACGCCGCCTGACGGCACGTGGCTAGCCTAAGCCTGCGCGCCGCTCGCTTCTGGCCCTTGCTTGCCGACGCCCTGGGGGGCCTCTCCACGCCTGGGGGGCCCACTCCACAGCTCGGTGAGCATCCGCCCTGCGATCACGGCGCCTCGCCCGTCGGGGCTGGGGGCTCCCCGGGGCTCCCGTCCTCGCGGGCCCATCCGCGCGCCGCGCCCGCCGCGGGCAAGACGGCTGCGCGGGGCCGCGCTGGGCAGCCAGAGTAGGAGGAGGAGGAGGAGGAGGAGGAGGAGGAGGAGGAGGAGGAGGAGGAGGAGGAGGAGGAGAGGAGAGTAGGAGGAGAGGAGGAGGAGAAGGAGGAGGAGGGGAAGAGAAGGAGGATGATGATGATGATGATGATGATGATGATGAGATGATGATGATGATGGAATGATGATGATGATGATGATGATGATGCTGATGATGATGATGATGAGATGACTGAGATGATGATGATTATGATGCCGTGATGATGATGATGCTGCTGCTGTGCTGCTGGCTGATGCTGATGATGATGATGATGATGATGAGGAGAAGGAGGAGAGGAGGAGGAGGAGGAGGAGGAGGGAGGAGGAGGAGCCGGCGGGGGGCCTCCTGTAGCGGGTCTGGTCCGCGCGGAGCGAGGGGCGAAAGGAGGAGGAAGGGAAGGAGGGAAACACGGCACGCGCGCGCAGGTGCGGCCGTGCGGCCGCCCCTTCCGCTCCCCGAAGTTCGGGGGCCGCCCTCCGCGGACTGCATGGCCCTCCGAAGGGGGCCCTCGCTCGCTCTGCGCTCTTCTCGTCTGCATGGCTCCGCCGCTGCCACGCTCGCTCTCTCTCTCTCTCTCTCTCTCTCTCTCTCTCTCTCTTCTCTCCTCTCTTCTCTCTCTCTCACCTCGCTCAGCACACACACACACCCCGCCCCCTCATCCTTCGTTCATCAGCGTCCCCCCCCTCCTCCCTCCTCTTCCTCTCTCCTCTGTTCCTCGCTCCCTCCTCCCTCACTCCTCCTCCCCTCCTTTTTGTTCCTGCCTCCTCCTCCTGCTCCTCCCTCCTCCATTCCTCCTGCTCCTCCCTCCTCTCCTCCTCGTCCTCCTCCTCCCTCTTCTCCTCCTCCTCCTTCCTCTCCTCCTCTCCCTCCCCTCCTTCTCAAGTTGGCTAGACCTTACGCTTACGCGTGTTGCGTTCTTCCCCCTCCTCATCTACCTCTCCTCCTCCTCCTCCTCCTCCTCCTCCTCCTCCTCCTTCTCCTCTATCTGCTCCTCCACACTTACACAACATTAATGCTACTCTCATCTCTCCCCTGGTGGCGTCCGGGAAATGTTCGGCCCCCCCTCCGCGTGCTTGTTTTTTGCACAGGCTTCTCGGGACATGGTTTTGGATTGGGTTTTCTTTAAAAATGCTGCTCTCGCTCGAGCGCTGGCCTCATTTCTTCTCTTCCGCTCGTTCCGAATCGTGCTCCCGCTGCAGCGCTGGCCCAATTTCCGTGCTTCCGCTCGTTCCGGACCGCGCTCCCGCTGCAGCGTTGGCGTCGTTATTTCCAGCGCCATGCCACGGCATGGTCTTCGGTCATTCCAAACAGGCCCCGAAATCTAGAAAATGCCGCCCCCTAGGAAGACTCGGAAGTGATTACACATTCGGTGTCGAGTCGTTGATTGTTGGGGCCGCAGACGCCCCCCCCACTTTGGGGCGTCGCCACGCCATGCTATGTCAGGCTACGCGTCCTCATTTCCGCGCTTCTGCACTTGGGTTTGTTTGTCAAAGTGCGGCTCTCGCTGGAGCGCTGGCCTGATTTTCGGGCTACCGCTCGTTCAGGATCGTGTTCCTGCTGCAGCGCAGGCTTCATTTCCACGCATCCGCTCGTTCCGAGCCGTGCTCCCGCTGCACCGCTGACGTCATTATTTCCAGTACCATAGCACGGCATGGTTTTGTCCTTCCGAATAGGCCTCAAAATCTAGAACATGGCCCCCCGACGAAACCATCGGGAGTGATACACATTCAGTGCAGAGCGAGGGGGGAGCACGGCACGCGGGTGCGGCCGTGCGGCCGCCCCTCGCCCCTCCGCTCCTCGAAGTTCAAGGGCCGCCCGCCGCGGACTGGGGGGCCCTCGCTCGCACGGCCGTGTCCTCGTTCGCATGGCTTCGCCGTCGCCACGCTCGCTCTCTCTCTCTCTCTCTCTCTCTCTCACACTCCTCCCCCTCCTCCCCGTCCCCATCGTCCCCCTCCTCCTCTTCCTCCTCCTCCTCCTCCTCCTTCTGCTCCTCCTCCTCCCCCCTCTTTTCACTCCCCTCCTCCTCCTCCTCCTCCTCCTCCTCCTCCTCCTCCTCCTGATCCACCTCCTTCTCCTCCTCCTCCTCCTCCTCCTCCTCCTCCTACTCTCCTCCTCCTTCTCCCCATCCTCCTTCTCCTCCGCCTCCTCCCCCGGGAGCTGGGTTTTCGCTTGAGTTTGTGTTCGAAAGGCTGCTCCCGCTGAAGCGCTGGCCCCATTTCTGAGCCTCAGGTTGTTCCAAATCGCGCTCCCGCTGCAGCGCGGGCGTTTTCGGTCCTTCCAAGTAGGCTCCAGCATTGAGAGAATGGCCCCTCAAAACAACCATCGGAAGTGATTCCATGTTTGGTGTTGATTCGTTGATTTTTGGCCGCAGAAGCCATTGGGGCGTCGTCGTTTTCAGGAAGTATCAAGCGGGAGCCCCGTTTCTGCTCTGAGAAGGCGATGTTGAAAGCAGACCCAGCGGGTGCTCTGTATTAGCCCCGCCTTGTGTGGAGCTTTTCGGGGAACCCAAGGAGCTGGACATGGAGCCGTGTCTCCAGACCGGCCCAAACCTTTCGAAAACGATCCACTTACCCTCCAAGGAGCCCGGCGCCATGGCATGACATGATGTGCGGTGTTGTGTTCTGCGCCGATGTGCGATGCCATGGCTTGCGTTGCGATGCTTTGTGATGCCCTGTTTCACTGCGCAATGCAACGCCATGCTATGGCATGATACGCTCTGCCGTGCTCTTCCACGCCATGCCATGCCGTGCTCTACCATGCATCGCGTACCCGACTGTGCGAACAGAGCAGATATCTGCGCCATGGTAGGGGATGGGAGGGAGGGGTAGGGCGTCAGATATGGCGCGAGCGAACCTAGCTGGTCATCCCCCCCCTTCCTCCTCCCCCCTTCCCCCCCTGCGTGCGCGAAGGCTCGCCTGGGGCCGCCGCCGCGGGGCGGGCCTCGGGGGCGGGGCCTTCTGGCTGCTGGCCGCGGCGGCCGCGCCCCTGGGCGCCGGGGCCGTCGACCTCAGCTGGGTCGGGCGGCGTGCCCCTCCCCCTGGAAGTGGAGGGGCGATCGAAAGATGTACAGTCGACACCAATGACCCTGAGATCCTGGAGCTCATTCCCCAAACAGATTGCTGAACGGGGTGCTGCTGTAAAAGAAGCTAATTCCAGCCGAGGGAAAGGGGAGCAGAGACATCCTCACACAAGTCTGATGGTCCGGGCCGTTTCGCTTCAGACATCCTCACAACTCTCGTTTCTGAGTTGGCCGGGATTGGCCATTTCGCCTGAGACTTCTTCGAACAGATGCGCTCCGGGACGCCGCGCGAGAGGTGGTCCAGGCCGTTTCGCTTGAGACATCCTCGAAACTCTGAGCCCCGAGGTGCCGTGCGAGAGGTTGTCCGGGCCGTTTCGCCTGAGACATCTTCGAAACTCTGAGCTCTGAGATGCCTTGCGCGAGGTGGTCCGGCCCGTTTCGCCTGAGACATCCTCGAAACTCTGAGCTGGAGATGCCGCGCGAGAGGTGGTCCGGACGGTTTTCGCCTGGGACATCCTCCGAACTTCGAGCTTGACGAGCCCTGCGACGCGAGGTGGTCCGGCCCATCTCGCCTGAGTCATCTTCGCAACTCTGAGCTCTGAGATGCAGTGCGCAAGGTGGTCCGGCCCGTTTCGCACAAGACATTCTCGCAACTCTGAGCTCTCAGATGCTGCGCAAGAGGTGGTCCAGCCTGGGGGCCCAGAAGACCACATGTTACATATCCTCCCTGGGACCCTGGGAGCCCCAGGAGGCCCCAGAGAGCTCCAGGAGGCCGCAGGACGCCCAGGACAGGGCCCAGGGGTCCCCAGGAGATTCCCAGGAGGCCCCTCGTACGTCACCCCCCCCTACTTATCTTGTACCCCAGGAAGGGCCCAGGAGGCCCCCCCTATCAGAACGTGGGTGATCGTAGCGGTGTTCTCACGTCAAGCAATACACATACGGTTCGCGATTCGTTGGTTTTTCCTGCTCTCTTCACCCTCCCCCCTACCGCTCCTGCCCGTCTTCCTTATTTCTCTTCTTGTGCCCCCCCTCCATTTTGAGGGGCCCAAACGGCCACAGGTTAGATATCCCCCCTGGGAGCCCCAAGAGGCTTCAGGAAACCCCAGGTGGAGTTCAGGAGGCCACAGGAGGCCCAGGAGGAAGCCCCAGGAGGTCCCCAGGAGGCACCAGGAGGCACCAGGAGGCCCCCGCAACTCGGAGCTCTGAGACGCCGCGCTCGAGGTGGTCCGGCCCGTTTCGCCTGAGACTTCCTCGCAGCACGTTTCGCCCGAGACATCGTCGCAACTCTGGGGTCCGAAATGCCGCGCGCGAGGTGGTCCAGCCCGTTACGATGGAGACATCCTCGCAACTCTGGCTTTGTCTTTTTTTTTTTTTTTTTTTTTCTTTTTTTTTTTTTTTTCCTTTTTTATTTTTTCTTTTTTCTTTTTTACGAGATGCCGTTCGGGATGAAGAGGAGGTCGAGGAGGAGGAGGAGGAGGAGGAGGAGGAGGAGGAGAAGGAGAAGGAGATGGAAGGGAGAAGGAGGAGGCGGATGATGTGCATGAGGGAGCAGGCAGGAGGAGGGGGAGGAGGAGGAGGAGGAGGAGGAGGAGGAGGAGGAGGAGGAGGAGGAGGAGGAGGAGGAGGAGGGAGCAGGAAGGGAGTTGCAGGAGAGGACCTAACGGGAAGCAAGTGTGACGTGGACGTGTCAGAACGTGTGCGAGAGGTTGTCCGGACCGTTTCGATTGAGCCATCCTCGCAATGCGAGGCTCGAAGATGTTGCGCGCGAGATGGTCTGGCCCGTTCTGCCTGAGACGTTTCGTAGCACAGGGGCTCCAATCACAACCTCTCTCATTCCTTCTCTCGCCTCCCGCTTCCCACTTCCCGCCTGGCTCCTCTTCTCTCCTCCCTCCTCCCGCCTCCCGCCTCCCACGGCTGCGCCTCTGCCTCCGCCTCCCCGTTCCGCCGTCGTCGTTTCTGCCGCCTCAGCATCCGTCATGCGCGCACTGCCTTCCGCCCTCCCCAGACATCCGACGTCACGATTTTTCTTTTGAGACGTGCGCCGCGTACCTCTCGATAGCATCCCCGGGGCAACCATCACGACATGCCCCCCCGCTTCCGCGCCCTCCCCCGCTTCCTCTTGCAGTTGCTTCCGAGTTCACAGCATGGCGGTGGCGCCTCTCACAGTGCCGACCCGACAGCTTACTCGTCGACCAGGGGCGAGGGAGTACGACACCCTCTCGCGTAAGCTTCCTGATAGGTATGCGTCACACAAGTTTTCGTGCAAACATCTCATGTGCAAACATCATATAATCATGTTCTAACATGCCATGCCAGTCCGCATTGGACGGGCACGCAGTCGACCTTGGAAACCGCAGTGGGTCTAAAAACCCTGTTTGGGGATACAGCACTCCGGCTATATTTAAACAAAAAAACGCTCAGGCAAGGTTGCTTGCATGGCGTTCGCCCCCCCCCCCCCCCCCCCCCCCCTCGCCCCCCTTCAGACGAACACGAGGGTCGTGCAAGTGCCTTTTCGACTGGCGTGCTTTCCGCACGTGCAAGTCGTTCGCGGCGTGCTTCAGGCAGGTTCAGCCCCCCCCCCCCCGTGCAAGTAAACTCCCCGGACTCTGCAGAAAAACAGGTTCCTGGCGTTCCTGGCGTTGAAATGTTTTCACAACGGGTGTCTTCGTTCAGTATCGAGCCCCGGGGCCCACGCACATCGATCCGGGGTCCGAGGCTCGGGTGATGCTTGGGGCCCGAGGCTCGGGGTAAGGTTTTGTGTTTGCTTTTCCCCTCCCCCATTTTTCTTCAGCGTCGGATCGCAGGGGATAGGGTTGAGCAGACGTCCCGAAGTCACGACGGGGGCTGGGGCGGCCTCCCGGGGGCCGTACCGGGCCCCAGGGCCGTCAGGAAAGGACGCAGGATGAAGAGCGGTCCAGGGGAACGGGTCGAGACCTTTCGGGGTCGATTTTAGGACAAAATCATGACGTCGTGCGTTTGGGGCATGGGGTCCTAGCAGATGGGGAAAGGGATGGGTCCCCTTGCATCCTTGCCTCCTCGGTCCTTCCTCGACCTCCTTTCGGTTGCCAGCCCCGCTCGAAAAGTTTCGACATGGGCGTCCATGGGCGTGCATCCTTATCGAGCATCCTTACTATGAATTTTAACTGCACGGAACGACTGGGCACACAAACCCGCAGCATGTCCTGTGCATTTTGAACAGGACTGCATGTCCTGTGCATTTTGAACAGGACTCGCTGTCAGTGTCGCCGCGGACGTTGTCCAGTTGAGACAGAAGGCCGCCTGCGCAATTGCGGCCGCGGTTGGTTTCAGACAACGTGTGTTGTTGGGCGTCGCGCCACTGTTTCCCGTACCGTTTCGGGCGTCCAAAGACGAGGAGGGAAGAGGAGGAGGAGGAGGAGGAGGAGAAAGAGGCGGAGGAGGAGGAGGAGGAGGAGGAGGAGGAGAGGAGGAGGGAGAGGGGGAGGAGGAGGAGGAGGGGGAGGGGGAGGAGCGCGAGGAGGAGGAGGATATTGTTACCTTGCCCGCTGGGGGTGTTTTCCTTGCCTTTCGAAGTCCCTGTTCTTTTGCGCAGGCCTTGGGTGGATCCCGCCCCCCAGGGGCGACCGCTCCTGGGGGGGCGGGTGGTGGACGGGTGGGGGTGGGGGGGGCGGGTGCGTTCGACCGAGCACCGTTGCTGACAGCCTGCGCGTGCGAAGTAGTCGGATCGGGCCGGCGGGGGACGCCCTGGAGGGGGGAGGAGCGAGCAGCGAAGAGGAGGGAGGAGGAGGAGGAGGAGGAGGAGGAGGAGGAGGAGGAGGAGGAGGAGGAGGAGGAGGAGGACGATCGAGAGCAGCATGTAAGAGTGTCGGCGGATCGATCTGAAGGGAGGGGGGACCAAGCGGAGGAGGAGGAGGAGGAGAAGGAAGGAGGAGGAGGAGGAGGAGGAGGAGGACAGGGAAGGGCAGGGGGAAGGAGGAAGGAGGATGGCGGAGGAGGAGGAGGAGCGCGGAGGAGGAGGAAGAGGAATGAGGAGGGGATGAGGGGGAGGGGGACCAGATCTCCGACGATGCGATTTTCCTTATCCGTAAAAAGGGGGCCACCGAAGAGTCCCACATGGGGGGGGGGGGGGGCGCGGAGCCCGAGGCCGCCAAGTTCGGAAGCAAGCCTGGCAACCGTCTCGCTCGAGACGTCATCTGAGCAGTGCTATGCATCAGCCGTGCTCTCGCCTCAATGCTGGCTACATTTGTCGTGCAGATGACCACGATGGCTTGCACAGTATGTGCATGTGTTTCTGTCTGTCTGTGTGCCTGTCTGTATGTACGTACGTACGTACGTATGTACGTACGTACGTACAGATGTATCTACATATGCACATAGAGGTGCGCAAGGCCATGCTCTCACCTCTGCCCCGGCTGCATATTATTCGGGAATCCTTGAGGGAATATCGGGCTGCACGTGTTCACGATCCGATATTCTGCTCATCGACCCACCTTGTCACGCTTGTTCTGCTATGAGGGTGCGCTGCTAGAGCTATTCAACTTCAACATGGGCGTGTCCTCGATGCCAAAACCGCCGGGGGCCCGCAATCGGGCCCCAGCGGCCATACAACAACGGACCCAGGACGACAAGGACCCCCGGGGGGAACGGGTCAAGACCTGGGGCCGCGGATTCAACGAAAACATATTGGCGGACGGGAGGCAATCAGGAGGGAAAGAAACACACAGACACAATTAACTGTCGATTTTCAAGAAAATATCGGAAAATACAGGAAGTGGGGGGGAAGACAGAAACCCAGAAAATATAGGAACATATAGGGGAATCCTGTCACTTGTGTGTATTTATTTGTGTGTCCTGGGGGCTTCTTTAGGAAAGGCACGGCGAGGGGGGGGGGGAGGAGGACAGTTTAGTGCTTGCTCTTGGGCGGGGTTCTGTGGTATGACGAGGCGCCCTCGTCGCCACGGCGGGATTCGCTCCGGGACCCTGCTCGGAGCGCGTCGCATGGACGTGTTCCGGAGTC